ATAGAATCTATTTTCTATTTATATTTTATTGGTTGCTGGTTCAATTTCAATGTAGAGTCAGAATATATTCTGAATTATTTCAACCTTTCAAACATATGGGGACATGCTTTACGTCCAATATGTCATGAATTTTCATAAACTGCACACTCTAAAAAGAGGAGTAAATACTCCTATAATTACTTAGTTTTAAGATCATAAAAGATACTGCTTATAAACATTACACTGATTTATCTGTATTGTAATCAAACACTGACATTTTCAACAAATCTGGATACTTTTTACAGATGTCAAGATTCAACTATATTTATATTTTAATGAGGTTAACAGAATTTTGTCATTTTTCTATGACAAAGTAGAGTATCTTTACATATATCAATTACGTTAGTAGTATTAATGGTGAATAAATATCTTTACTGGGGTCTTTCCCTCATCGATTCAATCAATTGTCTATCCTCCCTCTAGTGGTTGTATACATTAATGCACTTTCTAATCTTTTATGTAGGACATGAACTTCATTGTCTGGTCAAGCAGGTGTGATTGTTCAGTTGTACAGTTGTACAGTTTTATTTAGCGACTGCCTGAACATTTTTGAGGAGGAAAGGAACATGTACAATTATGAGTATTTGGTTTTTTAAAAAATGAAAATCGCTCATTCTCCAAGCACCACAATTCCAGTTAATTCTGTCCTCCCCCCAACCCCCTCCATGGCCTCAGTATGCAGATCTGAGTGTGTGAAGGGTACATCCTGAAGAGGAAGGAGAAAATGGGACTTCATCATTTTCATTTCACATTCTGCCCACGCCCTGTCTTCTTTTGGTCATTTTTCCCTCTTCTGGAATTGGAGCTCCTTCTTTCCTTATGAATGCATTTAAGGCTACACTTTGCCTCTAAGCATGACTTTAAGTGCAACCTAAGTGTTTTAACATGTTACATGCTCAATGCTCTTCAGTTGAAAATATCTTCTGGTTTGCTTTGTGTTGGCTTCTATCCCCCACAGGTTATTTAGATTACTTCATGTCATAATTTTTCTCTGAGCACTCACCGCATTAACTATTTTCTGTCTTTTTTTACTTCATGTGTTTAACCAGTTTCTATCCTTGTCCTGAATAACAATAGTAGCTTGAAATAAGTTATTTCATCTGGCTATAAATTGGAAATTAAGCATGTTTTATATGTATAAAATATAGCAATATGACAAAATTCTGTTAACCACATGAAAGTATAAATGTGGTTGATTTTTTGACATCTGTAGACATATTTGTTGAAAATGTCAGTGTTTGATTACAATACAGATAAATCAGTGTAATGTTTATAAGCAGCATCTTTTATGATCTTAAAACTAAGTGGTTGTAGGAGTATGTACACCTCTTTTTCATATTCATATTGAAATGTAAAGGCGTTTTTAAGTAAATTTCTCATTATCCAGTTATTCACTCAGGGTGATCAGATGTCTATTCAAAACAGCCAACAATGAGCTAAAGGGGTCCTGTTACAGCCAGAATCCCACCACTACCACAAGTGATGCAGGCACACAAAAAAATCCTCCACAAAAGTATTCTGTAACTAAACTTCTATACGAAGAGTTGGAGAATACTGGCTCTCTAAATTTTAAAATAAAAATCAGCTTGCCTATCAATATGAGGCAATAAATATTCATTCACTAGCTCTCATGTGCCAGTAATTTCCAGGGACCCTATAGAAATCTTACTGCTGTACAGATAAGAAAGATTGACACAAAGACTTCAATCACAGGATTCTTTGGGTGGTTCTAAAATAGAAGAGACACTTTATAAGTATTGTAAAGATAAGGCCTTGTTCCAATCACTTTATAAGAATTAATAAATTATTATAAATTAATCATTTCATACTCACAGCAAACCTGTGAACTAGTCGCTACAATTCTTGCCGTTATTATTCCCGTTGTCAGATGAGATAAAAGGTGGTAACTAATTTGTGACAGGGGAAAAGTCTCAGACGGTGAGTGGTGGATTCAGGATTTAAGCCCACGATGCCCGATCTGGACACTTTTGTTTAATCTCCGCAGCCCGTGCAGCTGCTGGCGCCGGCGCTGCACCCAGCTGCACCCAGCCCTGCACCCAGCCCTGCTCTGCGCGCTCAGCCCCGCCGGGTCCCAGACCCCGCCGGCAGCGCCTAGATCTGAAGGATGGGAGCGTGCTGAGAAGAATAATGCTTTGACACAATTGTGTGTTCTATAAATACGGGCGCGTTAACCCTACAGGGCTGGGCAGCGCACGCCTGAGCTGTTTGAATAAAAGACTGCAGGACTTCGCAGCTTCTTTCTCTCCATCGCTGTAGTCCGCTTCTGAACTTGTCTCCCTCCTCTTGGGATATCCTTCGGCTGCCCGGACTTCACCTCAGCTCTGCCATCGCCCAACCCTCCACTCATTCCACTCGGAACCCCAAATACTGGCCGGCCAGGGAATCCCATGCTATCCTGCAGACCGGTGTGTGCACAAGAAAATCAGGTCCCAGCCCTCAGGCTCTCGGTATCCTGTTAAAAGAGCGCACAGCTGAGCCGCATAACTAGACACATGACCAGATGTGTGTTTCCGAGACTTTGTAAAAACAATATTGGTGCATATATATATATATCTCAGGGCAGGAATATGGGCGAAGGCAGTCAGAGAAAATTACCTCTGAAGACATTTGCATAGGATGGGAAATTGTTTGTTTCTCTCACCATGCACTGCCCAACATTTCCAGGTATTCAGTTTCTTATGATATTTAAAATCGTGGGACACAATATTGGTTTATGAAAGTTTATATGAAATATTGTCATGATAGGATGAAAAGATAAAGTCACTCTGAGACTGTAAGGCACGAACATGAATGGGGCAGCCACACAGGTGGGCATCTGGAAGCAAATACTGCCTGGCACCAGCTGCATAGCATTGGGCAGGTAAGGAAATATTCTCCTTCTCAGTGCTCTTGTGTTAGGAGATGAGATGGTCAAATATTATATAGAACTTCACCCTAATACAGTAACTATTTGCCTCATGTGGCTATATAAATTAAATTTATAATTTAAAAAATAGGCAATCATTTCCTCAGTCACTCTACCCTCAAGTGCCCAAGAACCCTATGGGGCTAGTAGCTATCATATTGTACAGAATATACATATATATATATATATATATAAATTTTTCAAAGAAAATTCTTCTGGACAGTGCTGGTGTATCGAGAAAGGGTCAAATATTATTCAGATAGAGTGCTGGGAAATTATCACAATTAGGCCAATAATAGGTTTGTAAGTTCGTGAATTTGTAGAGAGCTTGGTGTGAAAGCCTGAGAGCTGAGCTACAAGTCTTTTTCTTGTCAAAAATCACGGGGGCTGTCAAACAAATCCTGATAAACAGAAAGTTTATTTCAGAAGGCTCAAGTGAGGTAGGCTTTGGGAAAGCTTGCATGCAAAATATAAAAGTAACTATGGAAAGGAGAAAAAGACAAATTGAACATTTCTTACATCCATGATGAATAACTGGCACCATTTTCAAATCATTATCAAATTAGGAAAACAATACTTTTTAAAAACATCGAGCCTTCTACTGCCTGAACTATGAAGTATCCCACAATTTATTTAGGTCTTCTGAAGTGAAAAGTTAAAATGTTTTTAGTTTTATTGTACAACCTTAATTAATTTAATTCCTAGGTTAGTTAACTTTTGATGTTGTTATGAATATTATTAATTTTAAATGTTTACTTCAAATGTTATTGATGATAGAGAAAAATGATTTTCATATTCTGTACTCCTGTCCAGTGTTCTTGCTAAATGTACACATTAAATCTAATAGCTTACCTGCAAATTATTCTCAATTTTCTGTTGCATTTCATCAGTAATTTTTTTCCAGTTATAAAATCTTTTATTCCTTTGCTATTACACTAGCCATGACTTGTAACCAACAAATACAGACATGTTATTTGAGAGGGAAAGTTTTAGAAAACTTTATTTAGATAATTATCTAAATCACAAATGTAATTTAACAGATCCATATTCAGATTTATTTCTGCTCCTGTCATTTTGCTAACAGATGTTTCCAGCAATATGAATACGTCATGTTAATTTTCAAGTTTAATGTCCTCACTTTGTCCTTGATATTCTCTAATGATTTTAATGTCTGTTATTAATGTAGTGATAACATATTTGAGATTTCTGATCTTGGGTATTTGAGCCTTTTTCATTTTTCCTTGATAAGTTTCACTGGAAATTATCTGGCTTCAATAAGCATTTAAAGGATTTTACTTAATTTACTTCCCTTATTTCATATTTGTTTTTCTTCATTGCTTTTCTTGCCTTTATTAGTTGCTTCATTCTGCCTTCTTTGCTTTTAGCTACTTAATTATAATTTAATTTGTTGATTTAGGTGATTATAAATATTCAGATGATAATTTTATGTTTTATAAAATTATCTGAATATTTTTATAAATGTAAGCAGCAAAATTTCCTCAGAAAAAAAATCCAATAATATATGATATATCACGAAACAGAGGGCTTATTATTGAAACAAATTGGTTAAATATTTGAAATTCGTAGCTGCAAATAATCACATTAAGAGAATAAAGGGAAAAGCAAGATTATCTCAAAAAAATCTATAAAACTCATGACTGAATTCAGTATGCAGTCATAATAAGTACTCTCAGCAAAGCAGGGATACAAAAATGATTAATGTACTAACATGTATCTGCAAAAATGACAAAACGCTCATACATGGAAATTAAAAACCATTCTCTTGTGGATAATATGGCACAGGATATGTTATAAAAGGCTGTCCTGCCACAACACAGCACAGATGGGGCTGAAAGAAAGGAAGGGAAACAAAGGGCTGCCATGAATATACCAGCAGAGAAAACAAAAGCCTGGGTCATGCAGGGGACAGTGCCTTATTAAGCCAGCATCAGGACTGGTTGAAGTCCCAGGCTTCTTCACAGTGGGAAAATGACCATAGTAATCACAATAAAGACAGACATCTGAAAGGTGCTCACTTCGCCTCGGATCAGACGTGCTCTCTGCTAATGACTTGCTGGTGAAAAGCGGATCCAACGTAAGCCCTCAGAAATCCCAGAAAACAAAGACCAAACGAAACGACGCCTTGTCAATAGAACAAATCGAAAAAAGTTTCCCGCAGTGACAGGCAGGACATTAAAAGAAAAAACCCACAGACGTGAGACGGAATGAATCCAAAAGGAATTTATATAACTCACGTATGAAATGTTTCAGAATCTACAGAGCTATAATTTAAGGCAGACAGACGCGGAAATACAATGAAAGCGTGCATGACTGAAACTAGAAGAGATTACATGAAAACCTCATTCTCTTGAGGAAATGGTGTGAGGAGGGAATTAGGGGCTGCCGAAACACAGCGAAACAAGAGGCGGAAGGCAGACAAAAGGGGCCGGGTCGGTCCCTGCCTGCGTGAACAAAAAAGATGTCAGATGAGATGTCAGATTGGAAAATTGCCGCAAAAATCAGGCAGCGCACGTAGGTTGCCCCGACAGGAAGTGTCCGCCATGCTGCCTGTGCCCGGAAGTAGGTAGGAACACAGAGTCACAGGGAGCCAAGAGCAGGGGGGAAGGAAAAGAGGTGCACACTTCCCCCAGAGAAGTCTCGATCGTGGCCGCGGCTCCGGGCCTCAAGCCCTTAAAGAAAAAATACCGGAGACGTTCTGGCACCATTTCGGGGTGAAGAAGCTGCCATGGAAGAGCCTGCAGCTCCCTCAGAAGCCCACGAGGCAGCCGGGGCCCAGGCAGGTGCTGAGGCAGCAGGGGAGGGTGTGTCTGGGCCCGACCTTCCCGCGTGTGAGCCCTCCGGGGAATCTGCTGCTCCAGATTCAGCACTGCCACATGTGGCCGTGGGCTGGGCCCCCTTCCCTGTAGCTCCAGTCCCTGCCCACCTCCGCACGGGAGGCCTGAGGCCTGCCCCAGCCTCCGGAGGAGGAGCCTGGCCCAGCCCCTTGCCAAGCCGAAGCAGTGGCATTTGGACAAAGCAGATCGTCTGCAGGTATTATATACATGGGCAGTGCAAGGAGGGGGAGAACTGTCGCTATTCCCACGACCTTTCTTGTCGGAAGATGGCCACCGAGGGCCGCGTTTCGCCGTCTGGGGCCTCTGCAAGTGGAGGCCCTAGCACGGCTGCGCACATCGAGCCCCCGACTCAGGAAGTGGCGGAAGCCCCCCCGGCTGCATCCTCGCAGTCCTTGCCTGTGATTGGCTCGGCTGCTGAAAGGGGTTTCTTTGAAGCCGAGAGAGACAATGCAGACCGTGGAGCTGCTGGAGAAGCAGGTGTAGAAAGCTGGGCGGATGCCATTGAGTTTGTTCCAGGGCAGCCCTACCGGGGCCGCCGGGTTGCATCTGCTCCTGAGGCTCCTCTACAGAGCTCAGAGACTGAGAGGAAGCAGATGGCTGTGGGCAGGGGTGAGCGGTTTTGCTATTATGCTTCCAGGGGAGTTTGCTTTCGTGGGGAGAGCTGTATGTACCTCCATGGAGACATATGCGACATGTGTGGGCTGCAGGCCTTGCACCCCATGGATGCTGCCCAAAGGGAAGACCATATAAGGGCCTGCATTGAAGCACACGAGAAAGATATGGAACTCTCGTTTGCTGTGCAGCGTGGTATGGACAAGGTGTGTGGCATCTGCATGGAGGTTGTCTATGAGAAAGCCAACCCCAATGACCGCCGATTTGGCATTCTTTCCAATTGCAACCATACCTTCTGTATTAGGTGTATCCGCAGGTGGAGAAGTGCCAGACAGTTTGATAACAGGATCATCAAGTCTTGTCCACAGTGCAGGGTCACCTCCGACTTGGTCATTCCCAGTGAGTTCTGGGTGGAGGAGGAGGAAGAGAAGCAGAAACTTATTCAGCAATACAAAGAGGCAATGAGCAACAAGGCCTGCAGGTATTTTGCGGAAGGCAGGGGTAACTGCCCATTTGGAGACACATGCTTTTACAAGCATGAATACCCTGAGGGCTGGGGAGATGAGCCTCCTGGGCCGGGTGGTGGGTCATTCAGTGCATACTGGCATCAACTTGTGGAGCCTGTGCGAATGGGAGAGGGCAACGCGCTCTATAAAAGCAGTAAGAAGGAGCTTGTCGTGCTTCGGCTGGCCAGTCTGTTGTTTAAGCAGTTTCTTTCACTGAGAGATGAGTTCCCCTTCTCTGAGGAGCAGTGGGACTTGCTTCATTATGAGCTGGAAGAATATTTCAATTTGAATCTGTAGCATCGTGCTGTGGCATGTGGTCTAGTCTCCTGAGGTTCTGTCATCTTCTAATGCCTGTTTTCCCTATGTTGACACTCCTATTGCTTTCAGGGGCTGTTGAGGCAGTGTTTCTGTTTTCTTGTCTATTCTGAGTATCTTTTCTCCTAGGACTATGGTGATTATCTGTGTTAAAAAGTAAGTCCATAAAGTTACTATTTTGGTGAAATTAATATTAATGTCAGCTTATGGCTTTTTCGTCATCTCTGTTTTCAACAGGATTAACTCAGTTCTAGTTTAGTGTTTACTGAATTTCCACACGTATTTTGAAGACTCTCAAGAGTAAATATGGCAGAGTGAAAGGAGAAGTTTTAATTGAACTAGTAGCTTTCTGCTATAATAGCCTTAACAAATGGACCCTTGCAGGGCCTTGCAGCTGCTCATCTGTTTGTTTACAGTCTGTTCTTTCCCTTCTTCCCTTTCAAGTGCACTTGTTAAACTATGATGAACTTGTGACTTTGTGTTTTACTTGACCAAAACCAAGTGTATATGTTTACATGTTTTTATCCTGTTTAGCTTGACGCGAAATAATTTATATTTGGAAATTTATATTTAAGAATGATATATATATAATATATATGCATATATATGTATAAGTTATGTATTTGAAAAATATATAAAAGAATATACATCACAATATAATATTTATGTTTATGTAATAAAGTAAATACAGACCCAAAAGCTGAAGGTCAAAGCCTAACAGGATTGGCTGTTGTGTGAATGTGAGTTGTCTGAATAATCTTTCTGTCCCAGGCACAGAAGCCAGTAATTAACATGTAATGAAAAGGACTGTTCAAGTGGGTCTGGCCAGATGTAACAGATGCACATCTTAGAGGACTTACAAAGCATGCTGTTGGTAATTCTTACAATGGCATTCATAGCTCACTCCATAAATATTTAAATGGTGTTCCTATGCAGTTTAGCCACCTTCTCATTTATTCTTTGTAACAGCAAATCCTAGGCTCAGAGGCACAGTGCTTTGTATTCCATATACAAAGTCTCTAGACTTTCCCAACAAGGGGCTTTTGACAAAAGATTTCAACATAAAAGAAACAAGATTATAAAAGGGAAAATAGAACAAAAATACTAAAACCAGTGAGAATTAAAGAATGGGGTAAAATAATATAGAAAGCACTACGTATCAGTACAACTTAATTAGATTAAATGAAAGCAGTTTAAAGACTGAAAGTCAAAGGCTACGAGACTTCATTACGAACAAAGTGAAACATCTTGTTTAAAATATACACAATGCAAAAACACAGAAACATGCCAAGTAGTGGGATGGGGAAAAACCAAAGTGTATAGTAAGGATAAGCACTTTGCTGGAGATAAAAAGGAATGATACATAAACATTAAATTATAATTCACAGGAACTCAAATTTTGTATACATTTAATAACATTATATCAGATGTGGATAAAAATAGAAGATCCTAAATCCAGACTTTTAGGGGACAATTTTAATACACCTTTTGGGAAACCATACAAGCAAAGAAAAAATGAATGTGAAAAGAGAATGACAGCATTTTCATGATACCTAATGAACTTGTGTATGCATCAACTGCACATGCACTTATCCTGGCTGAAGTAGCTGAAAAATACACTGGGAGTGTGAGTCTTGAGTCCCAGGTTATTCACACTGTCCTGCCTGTCCAGCAAAGATGGCACATTTACAAAGTTTATACCATGTATTTGCATGCAAAAGGATGAATTTGTCAGAATGTGGTACTTGTTACAATTTTTCTTATTATCCTGATGAGGTAAATAGTAGAGAATTTAAAGGTTTTGTCCATAGAATTTATGACCCATAGCTGTAAATTAGTGGAGCGAAGACTGGAACTCAAATAGTGTATGTCCAGAGCACTTGCACTTACCATGTCCGCTAGGAGCAGGTGGACCAGCTGAATGCAGCTGCTGGAGACGCAAGTACAGCCTTTAAGTATGGATGGTTCAGCCGAGTGGGACAAAGATGGACATAAATAAGCTCCCTCAGAATGTGGGACCCATGGGGCTTCTATCTAAAGGCTGCCAGCTCAGTGATTTTAGGTTTCTGCTTCAGAGTGTGTCTCAGCCTCCTATAATTTTTTTTTTTTTTTTTTGAGACGGAGATTCGCTGTTGTTACCCAGACTGGAGTGCAATGGCGTGATCTCGGCTGACTGCAACCTCCGCCTCCTGGGTTCAGGCAATTCTCCTGGACCTCCTATAATTTTACATTGCCTCTCCCTTCTTACATGACTCCTAGTTCTCCTAGTGAGTACGTCAGCCTGTTTGCCTGGACCTTTTGCCATATTCCTTTCCTCTTGATCCCTCTTACCCAAAGAATCCTGGGCCAGGTGGTGAGTCATTCAGCACATACTGGCATCAATCAGGACACCCTCTTGATGCCTGACCATCACTGGCATGCAAGGTGAGTGACAGATTCCGAATAAAATCCAAACGTCTGAGTCATGCAGGAGAGAGATATTGGATGAACTAAACAACCAAAGGACGAGACCAGATGTACTCCCAGACTGTGCCAACACCAGAGTGTCAAAAAACGAGCCCCGGTAGTGGCAGAGCTTTCAGAGACGTGTTTTTAGGCTGAGCCCAGAAAGCTGTGGAAAGTTTCTCCAAATGTACACTGTCCTGCACTGTGAAATATGTTTTTATTGAAATAGTATGTTGAACCAGATAATCACAAAGTTCGGGATGTATAGTAGGACGATGGTTAGTAGAAAATCAAGTGGCTCGGGAGACAGACAAAGGATAGTTAGAACACTGACTCTGCTTCTTACCAGCCATTCAGTTTCACAGTCTAAACAAGTTACTTAAATTTTCTGTGCTTCAGTTTCTTCATATGAGAAATGGGTACAGTTCCACCTACTTTTGCAGGATTGTTGAGGATCAAATGTAGTGTGGACAAAAAGCTTGAAACATAGGTTGTTTTTTTAAGTGACATACATAGAAGTGAGATTTGTGCATATGTTTGGACAGGAAAAGGTGATTGCACAAGAATTAATCACCAAGATTTTCTTTTTGAGAATCTTTGGAACTTGAATTAATTTAACATTATCATTTTATGATTATTTTGGCAAGCAAGGGATATATTACCCTCACATTCATAATTTCAAAAAGACAAAATATTTTTTCAGCAAAAGTTATTCAGTTGAAACTATATACGTGCTATTCAATTATTTAACAAAAATATATTTTTGGCAGATTCCTAGGTGAGGAAAATAACAAGGTGACCTTTTTAGAATATATGGGATTCCTTGTTCCCTCATCAGCTTATTGAAAACAATGTTAAACAATAGAGGCATTAGGCTCCCAGGTCTGCGTGAAGTGTCACCAAAGGCTTTCCAATAAAGACATCTGCCCACTCCCCGGCTGCAGTTGGGAACAAAGAACCCTTTCCACACAAAAGTTCTGCTCTGTGAGTGATTCAGTGTGTGCTGGTCCCCACCCCCAGAAGGACGCCGGGACTCAGCCCGAGGGTCCACAAAAATGGCATCCTTTCAGCTACAACTACAAAAGCCTGAAGCAAGTCAGGTTTGTTTACATTTCACGTGTCTCCATTGAATGCGTATCCACGCTGGCAAATATACTAAGGAGAATTTCGCTAGTCGTTCCTCCCCTTTGAAAAGACACGGAAATCATTTGTCTCACGGCTCACGTGTCACTAAATCAATACTAAGGAGAATTTAGCTAGTCATTCCTCCCCTTTGAAAAGACACGGAAATCGTTTGTCTCACGGCTCACGTGTCACTAAATCAATTCATTAAATTTCACTGGCAGGGAAACATTTTGAGTCCATACGCGCTCTTTCGTTTTAGTTTTCTAAACGCCTTGGAAGCATGGTTTCTGTTGCCACCGCTAATGCTAAACTATAACTTTAGCGTGGGAGACAGTTAGGGTGGGGCCGGCAAAAGGGATATATGGGAAATAACCCAGTACTAGTGCAAATAAGTACATTCATGTCAGAATTTTTGCCATGAAAATATATATCACATTTTTCAGTATTAATGGAACACTGACAAAAATAATAATATAGATTACAGTGAAACTGTCAATTAGATCTAGATATTAAAGGACAGGCGACATTCTCTGGGGTCAATATAAGAAAAGCTACTCCCACCTGAAACTTCTTTTCTCTCTCATAAATAATTTGATGTAGGAGTGAATTCAAAATCATTTAGCAGAATATAATATGACAACAAAAAATTATAAATGCCATAATATACAGGATATTTCTAGATCTGTACTCAGTATAAATCCTGATTTTAAATACTAACATATATTGTCTAAAAACAATTAGCCTAAATAACTAGGTATTCAAACCTAAGGTTTGAAAAGACCACAAAATGAACACACACACACGTACACAAACACATACAAACACAACTAAGGTGAGCAGGAGGAATTAGGAAATGTCAAACTCAGTATTTGTTGAGCAGAGAATGAAAATGTAAAGGCTGATTTTTTTTTGGTAAAAATAAACCACTAACTTAAAAAAGAAAGGATAAAGTGCAATTAAACCAAATAGGAAATGTTAATCAGAGGTAATTAGAGCTAAAAAGGTACTAAAGAAATGAGAAATAAATTCTGGTTATAGCTGAGGGAAATGTACTTGAGAATACGAAACAAAATTTAACAGTTTCAATATAATTTTTCAGACGTAATCCAGAGGACATAGCTAAATGAACCTATTACAACAACAAAAAAATAAACTTGACTAAAATGCGCCTACTCCCCACTCCACACAAAAAGAAGTAGTACAGAAGACTTTATGCCCCTGAAATTTACTTCACTTATTTAAGTAAAATAGATTGCAATGCTGTATAAACCATTTTTTAGTCCATTTGAGCTACTATTTAAAAATATCATAAACTAGGTGGCTTAAAAGCAACATAAATTTATTTCTCACAGTTCAGGAGGCTGAGAAGTTTAAGAGGATGGCACTGGCAATTTGGTGCCTGGTGAGAGTCAGTTCCTGGTTCATAGATGACCCTCTTCTCACAGTGTCCTCACGTAGTGGAAGGAACTACCAACCTTTAATTGTGATGTTTTAATGTACAGTAAAATTTATTAAAACTATAAATAATGACATAAATATATTTGCTTTCTTTTTAATGGGTACTCTGTTTTTCAGTGGAGACGTGCTTGAAGCAGTGCCATGTAAAACATGTTAATAATGAAAGTTGTATGCACATTAATCAAGAGTACAGTACAACATAAACAATGAAGGAATCACAGTTGCGGGGCCTTAGACACAAAGCTATGCATAGCATGTGAGCTGGCAAATTGGAGCCTCTTTTATTAAGGACACCAATCCCATGTATGAGGCCTCCAGCATCATGACTTCGTCACCTTCCAAAGGTCCCATCTCCTAATACCATTACATTAGAGATTAGATTTTTAACATATACATTTTGGAGCTACACAGACATTCAGTATACAGAACTGTTATGGTTTGGATATGGTTTGTTTAGCCCCAGCAAGTCTCATGTGGAAATTTGATCCACGGGGTTGGAGGTGGGGCCCGGTAGGAGGTGTTTGAGTAATGGGAGCAGATCCTTCATGAATGGGCTTGCTGCTATTCTCACAGAAGTGAGTGAATTCTTACTCTGAATTCCCATTAGAACTGGTTGTTGGAAAGAGCCTAGGCTGGGTACAGTGGCTCATGCCTGTAATCCTAACAGTTTGGGAGGCAGAGGCATAAGGATTGCTTGAGGCCAGGAGTTTGAACCAGCCTGGACAACATAGTGAGACCCCATCTCTACAAAAAAGTAGAAACAATTAACCAGATTTGATTAACCAGTGCATGCCTATAGTCCTAGCTAATGAGAATGCTGAGGACGGAGGATTGATTGAACCCAGGAGGCCCAGGCTGCAGTAAGCAATGATTGCACCACTGCACAGCAGCCTGGGCTGCAGAGTGAGACCCCGTCTCTAAAAACTAAGAAAGCCTGGCAACCCTTTTGCCTCCTCTTCCATATCTTCTCTTCCCCTTCCATGAGTGGAAGCTTCCTGCGGTCCTCAACGGAAGCAATATTGGTGCCATGCTTTTTTTTTTTTTTTTTTTTTTTTTGAGGTGGGTTTTTGCTCTTGTTACCCAGCCTAGAGTATAATGGCACAATCTTGGCTCACTGAAACCTCTGCCTTCCGGGTTCAAGCAATGCTCTTGCCTCAGCTTCCCAAGTAGCTGAGATTACTGGTGCCCACCACTCCCAGTCAATTTTTACATTCTTAGTAGAGACAGGGTTTCACCATGTTGATCAGGCTGGTCTTGATCTCCTGACCTCAGGTGATCCACCTGACTCGGCCTCCCACAGTACTGAGATTACAGGTGTGAACCACCATGCTTGACCAGTGCCATGCTTTTTTTAAGTCTCCAGAACCATAAGCCAAGTAAGCTTCTTTTAAAAAAAAATACATTATTTGGTTTTACATATTCATTTATAGCAACAAAAAATGGACCAAAACAGAAAATTGGTACTGAGGAGCAGAATATTGCTTCTATAAATTTGGAAGCAGCTTTGGAAGTGGATAATGAGCAGAGGATGGAAGAGTCTAGAGGGCTCAGAAGGAGACATGAAGGGAAAGCTTGGAACTTCTTAGAGACTGGTTGTGACCGAAATGCTGATAGAAATACAGACAGGAGAGGGCATGCTGAGGAAGTCTCAGATGGGAATGAGGAACTTACCGGGAACTGAAGCAAAGTTAAACCATAGCAAATAATTTAGCTGCGTTGTATATAGATCCTAGCAGTTTGTAGAAAGCTGAACTTAAGAGTGATGACCTAGAGTATCTGGAAAGAGAAATTTCTGAGCAGCAAAGCATTCAAGAAGTGGTGTGGCTGCATGCAATGACTGACAGAGACGAGCAAAGGCAGGACTTAATGTTGGAACTTATGGCTAAAAGGGATACCGAGCATAAAAATTTGGAAAACTCAAGCCTGGTCATGAGTTAGAGAAAGAAAGAGCATTTTGGGCCAGGCGCGGTGGCTCACGCCTGTAATCCCAGCACTTTGGGAGGCTGAGGCGGGTGGATCACGAGGTCAAGAGATCGAGACCATCCTGGTCAACATGGTGAAACCCCGTCTCTACTAAAAATACAAAAAATTAGCTGGGCATGGTGGTGCGTGCCTGTAATCCCAGCTACTCAGGAGGCTGAGGCAGGAGAATTGCCTGAACCCAGGAGGCTGAGGTTGCGGTGAGCCGAGATCACGCCATTGCACTCCAGCCTGGTTAACGAGCGAAACTCCGCCTCAAAAAAAAAAAAAGAGCATTTTTCAGGAGAGGAAATCTGAGGGGGGCAGCTGAACAACTGCTCTCCAGAAAGATTAGCACAGATGAAAGAACCAGTTGCTAATAGGATGATGTGAAAGAAGCCCAAAGTCATTTCAGAACTCTGAGTTTACTCCTCCTGCTACAGGTCCACAGGCCTAGGAGGACAGAGGCGTCTGGGCCAGGCCCAGAGTGCTGCTGCCCTGTGCAATCTTGGGAAGCTGCTTCCTACATTCTGGCTGCTCTGACTGCAGCTGAAGCTCAAAGGGCTCAAGCTGCTGCTTAGACAACTGCTTCAGAGGGTGTAAGCTGTCGTGTTTGGGCCTTCCATAGGGTGGTAAGACTACAGGCGCACAGTGTGAGATTGGCTGAGGCTCTTTGTGGGTTGGAGCCCCCACAAAGTGTCCCTACTAGGCACTGCCTAGTGGAACTGTGGGAGTAGGGTTGCCATCCTCCAGACCCCAGAATTCTAGAGTCACCAGAAGCATGCACTCTCAGCATGGAAAAGCCAGATGCATTGGACTCCAATACATGACAAGAGCCACATGGGCTTCACACAGAAAGCCAGGAGACAGGACTTCCCAAGGCTTTGGGAGCCCACACCTCATACCATTGTGCCCAAGATGTGGGACATGGAGTCAGAGAAGAACATTTTGGAGCTTTAAGTTCTCATGGCTGCACTTCTGAGTTCTAGACTTAATGTGGGGAGTGTTACCTCTTTCTTTAGGTTGATTTCTCCCTTTTGGAATGAGAATGTCTACCAATGCCTGTACCACATTTGTATCTTGGAAGTAAATATTTTATTTTTTATTTTACAGGTTCACAGCTGTAAAGAACTTGCCTGGAGTCTCAGATGAGACTTTGGACTTTGGACTTTTGAGTTATGCTGGACCAGGTTAAGACTTTGGTGATAGGATGATTTTATCTGGCAATGTGAGAAGAACATGAGTTTTAGGGGGCCATGGTTTGGAAATGGTATCTCTGGCCCCACCAAGTTTTATATTGAAATTTGATAACCAGTGTTGGAGGTGGGGCCTGGTGGAAGGTGCTGGGAATATTGGGGTAGATCCCTCATGAATGGCAAGGCGCCATTCTTGCAGGAGTGAGTGAGTTCTTACTCTGAGTTCTCTAGAGAACTGGTTGTTGAAAAGACCTTGACATTTCCTCTTTTTCTCTCTTGCTTTCTCTCTTGCCATGTGATTCCTACTATCCTTCCCTTTCTGGTGTGAGTGGAAGTTCCCCAATGTCCTCTCCAGAAGCAGGTGTTGGTGCCATGCTGCTTGTACAGTCTCCAGAACCATGAGCCAAAGAAACCTCTATTTTAAATAAATTACCCATCCTTAGGCATTTCTTTATAGCAACACAAACAGACTAAGAGAAGCACCATTTCATAAAACAAAATGAAGGTACACCTATATAACTTACGAATGGTACAGCACATCGGTATCAAAGTATTGCCAGTTCTAGTTCATTTTGTGCTGCTGTAACATAATACACATACTACATGACTTACGATGGGGCTGTGTCCCAATAAATACATCGTAAATAGAAAATAGCGTAGTTGAAAGTGCATTTAATGTCCCTATGAACCCATGATAAAGACAAAAAAAATCATAAGTCAAAACATTGTAAGTCTGGATGCTCACTGAGTTACCTTGGGGTTATGTCCTGATATACCCATTGTAAAGTTGAGTAATCATAAGTTAAACCATCCTAAATTGGGGCCCCTCTGTGCCTGAAACTGGGTAATTTACAATGAACAGAAGTTTATTGGCTCATTGTTATGGAGGCTGGGAAATCTAAGATCAAGGGGCCAGTATCTGGTGAAGGCCTTCTTGTTGCACCATCCCATGGCAAAAGGGCAATGAGAGTGACTGAGAAAGAGCAAGAGCTTGAACTCAAAACTTCAAGCCCTTTTATAATTAGTATTAATCCATTCATGAGGGTAGAGCACTCATTGCCTCAACATTTCCCATTAGGCCTTACCTTCCAACACTGTTATACTGTGGATTAAGTTTCCAACACCTGCTCTTGGGGGACACATTCAGACCACAGTACCAACATAGTATAATACAAAAATAGCTAGAGCTCTATCTCATTTATGAATATTGATGCAAAAAATATGAAATATTAGAAAGTGAAAAATAGCACAGTTAAAAAACAAGACTTTAGGAAGTAGTGGATTATATTCCAGGAAAACAAAGATGGTATAACATGAAAAATACTTTATCTTAACATACCAAAGGAAAAATCATATAAGCAACTTCATATATCTCCCAATAAAAATAAATTTGCAATCAATTTGCTTTGGTGTATATAATACAGCTATTTAAGGCATAAACATATGCATATATGTATATTATCCAAATCTAAATTTTTGAGAAATGAACACACAAAAACACATAACTAAGGAAAAGATGAAAGCAAAAATTAATATAGGAAAATTAAAATATTACATATAAAGTCTGAGGCTTTGAAAACAGTTCATAAAATAGATAAACCACTAAATCAGTGAGGAAAATAAGAAACAATGAAAACAAAATTACATACACACTTGCATTCAATAGGAGGAACTGACAGCAGATATTCTGTCAAACAAACATAAGAAATCGCTCAACCAGATAGGGATTAATTGCAAAACTAAAAGAAACGGATAATTTTCTAGGCATTTATAATTTATCAAACATCGGCTATAAAACATGACAATGTAACCTACTAGTTAACATAAAATCAATAAAATGGTTATCGCAATTTTAACTTAAGAACTAGAGATTCTCATAAAACGTTTAAAGAATGAATCACTAACGTGCTATGTAACACAGTCCAGATGTTTAAAACGGGTCGCTGACATGTTGAGTTATGAATGATACAAAACTTTGTATCAGAGTGTAACTAAGGCAGTGAACACACACAAATGCACATTCACAAATACATGCAAACTAATGATCAAATTTAAGAATGATGCAAAATTTCAAGAAAATATTAGTAAGAATAAAAATATTTCAGCATTGTATTTCTTTAGTCAAAAATAATTATATAATCTATTTTGATCAGGCAAAAACAATTATATTTTTCTCTCCTTTCTTCACTGTTAGTCTTTATTTTGATGTATCAATTACATTTTTTTTTTTTTTTTTTTGAGACGGAGTTTTGCTCTTTTCACCCAGGCTGGAGCGCAATGGCGCGATCTCGGCTCACTGCAAGCTCCGCCTCCTGGGTTCAGGCAATTCTCCTGCCTCAACCTCCTGAGTAGCTGGGATTACAGGCACGCGCCACCATGCCCAGCTAATTTTTTGTATTTTTAGTAGAGACGGGGTTTCACCATGTTGACCAGGATGGTCTCGATCTCTTAACCTCGTGATCCACCCGCCTCGGCCTCCCAAAGTGCTGGGATTACAGGCTTGGGCCACCGCGCCCCGCCTCAATTACAAGTTTATGCAAGACCAACAAATGAGACATATAAACGATACATCCTTCAAGGAAGGATTTAAATTCATCTGAGATGTTGCATGTTGAGAATCTGAAACTTCTTTTAAAACTTCAAAAAGTAAAAATCAGTAAATTATAGGAGAAAAATTAATTTGGATAAGTTTCATAATATAGAAAATGTAAAGAAATGCCCATTTTTGTTATGGCAACATAAAGTACCTAGGAACCATGTACGTTAAATTTAGGAATAAATAAAAGTTGGTAATAAATTTAAAAATGTGTAAGTGCCTTCAGGAAACCATAAATACTTAAGCTAATGCAAATATATATATAACTTTATAGGGAAATTTAACATCACTAATGTGTCAATTTGTAATGAATTTACCAAATTTCTAATAAAGGACCGTTTAGGGAAAAGTCTTAAACTGTGTCCTTCCTCTATTCTCACACCTCAACAATCATCAATGCAGAAAATGTCTGTGGCTAAATGTGCAGTCATTTCCCACACACCAAGCAGCAGACACCAGCTGGGCATCCTACAGTTCCAAGGCTGTGTACCTTGAGCTGTCAAATCCCACAGGGTGAGGGGTCAGTCCCCAAGAACTCCCCCTGCTCCCTAGACACCAGTCACAAGTCCAGGCCTCTGGAACTTCTGACCAGTGGGCTGGTCCCACAACCAGTTGGCATTCCCACAACCCAGTCTTTGGATATGATTAATCTGCTAAGCAGCTGACAGAAATCAGCGAAACACTTATCTTTACTGATTTATTATAAAGGATATTACAAAGAAGGCAGATGAAGAGATGCATATGAGGAGGCTATGGGGGAACCGGGTGGAACTCCCACACACCCTCCAGGAACCTCCAGGCATTCAGCTATCCAGAAGGCTTTGAGCCCAGTGCTCTGGGGATTTTATGGATGCTTCATGACATCTGCATTCCTTCTCCCAGGGTATGGGGTAAGGCCCTTAACAGAATGAGGATCTTATGATCCACAAAAGAAAGGTGGGGGAAGATTAGAGACCTGCCTTGAGGAGAAAGGAGATCAGGAAGTCAGAGAGATTCTGTTTCCTAAGGCTGCTCCTGAAGGCTAACACACCCAGTATTACTTTTTTAAAAAGTCTGCAACAGGCCAGGTAAAGTGGCGCAAATCTGTAATCTCAGCTCTTTGGGAGGCCAAGGTGGGTGGATCACAAGGTCAGGAGTTCAAGACCAGCCTGGTCAATATGGTGAAACCCTGTCTCTACTAAAAATACAAAAAAATTATCCCGGCATGGTGGCACATGCCTGTAATCCCAGCTACTCTGGGGGCTGAGGCAGGAGAATTACTTGAACTGGGAGGCGGAGGTTGCAGTGAGCCAAAATTGTGCCACTGCCCTCCAGTCTGGGGGACAGAGCAAGACTCCATCTCAACAAAAGAAAAAAATGGCTATGGGAGTTATGAGCTAAGAACCATAGAGGAAAGTGTGTGTGTGTGTATGTGTGTGTGTGTGTGTGTGTGTGTGTGTGTGTGATAACACCACAAGTACAAACTAGTCCTTTATAACTAAACAAAAAACTATTGTGAAAGTTGACATGTTAAGTTGGGTCAGGGGGAAGCCAGTAGGATCAAAACGTTTTAGAATTGAAAAGCATGAACTTGACTAGGTTTTCAAACAGTATCATATGCCAGCAATATGAAGAGCAGGTAGTGGGACTTGAATTACTAAAATGAAAATGTATACTAAAAAGGTTCCTAAATGGACATATGTATTCAGTTTATGATAAAGATAAAAATGACAGGATTATTCAATAAAAGTTGTTGGGTGAATTTAGGAGTCAATGAGAAAACTAATCTATGTGCTCCAAATATCATATTTTAATGCAGTACAAATTCCACTTACATCAAAATTTCAAACAAATAAGAAACCAGGAAAGGATTATCTTTTAAAGTCTTGGAGTCAAGAATGGCTTACAATGACATATTCTATAAACCTCTTTAAAGTTTGAGAGTAACTGCAACAGTAGTAACTGCATAGGGTCTGTTCTAAGATGCTTTATCCCATTTAATTCTTCCAACCATCCCAAGAGGTCGGCACAATTAACCCCTTATAGTAATTGAGAGCACTGAAGCTCAGGGAGGTTCCTAGACATATCCGTGGCACACAGTTAATAGGTTTTCCCATCTGACTGCAGGGTGGGACCTCATCAACTGCTCAGCCTTACAAATGTAACAAGTTTAAGAAGAGCTAATGATTTGACATGAGCAACTTCCCACAACCCTGAAAAAGTATCAAACTATAAAATAAGTCATAAAATGAGTCAAGAATTTATTTTTGTAATACATAAAGGCTTCTAATAAAATACTAGTAACTTAAAGAAATTAACAAAAGGTATAAATCTTTCACAGAAAACAAAATGCATGTAGTTTGGAGGGGAAACGTTGTCAAGCATGACTAATAATAATACCTATTAAAACGGATGCAGCTTCAGTTTCTTCTCAATTTGTCATAAACCCAGATGTTTAAAAACACACTCTCCTGGGGAAATAGGCATGCATTGCTTGCAGGGATGTAACTGGTACAATTTCCATGAAGGAACATTTTATGATAATCAAATCATGACTTCACATATGCATACCCCTTGACCCAGCCATTCTAGTATTTTAAAAATGTGACTTACAGGTATATTCTATACATACAAAATCTTTCAAATACAAGGATGTTAATCTCAGCCTTCATTCTAACAGGTTAGGCAGGGTGCAGTGGTTCACATCTGTAATTGCAACACTTAGGGAAGCTGAGGCGAGGGGCTCACTCCAGGTCAGGAGTTTGAGACCAGCCTGACCAAGATGGCTGAAACCCCATCTCTACTAAAAATACAATACAAAAATTAGCCAGGGATGGTGGTGTACGCCTGTGGTCTCAGCCCTTGGGAGGCTGAGGCATGAGAATCGCCTGAAGCCAGAAGGCTTAGGTTGCAGTAAGCCAAGTGGTTTAAGGTAAATATCATGAGGAGACAGCAATGATTCACTGCTGCTAAATCACTATGATGCCAGAGCTGGCTCTCAGTGCTCCTACAGATGTAGACACAGGTTCACTAATCAGGCTTGGGACTCTCTGATACTGCCATGTGATAAACTCTGTGAATCAGATGCACATGTCTTTATACTCAATATTCCATATTCTCCTGAACCTCTGTAAACAAGATGTTTTTCTGAAAAATTATTGAAATAGTGACTAAAAATCTGTGAAAAATAAATTTGTAAGAAGGTTAAAAAAAGAAGTCAAAATTGACCCAGAACAAGCAAGATAAAGAGAAGTAAAAAAGCAATACTGGAAATTAAACACAAGTAATCCAAAAGAAAGATTTTCTATATTTACTTATATTTGACAAAGTGAATTTTAAGGCACAGATATTAGTAGAGAAAATGAAAAAAAAAATCAATGACTAAGAAATTAGAAAGATTTTAAATTTGTATCCACATAATTACATAGCCTTAGAATATAAAAGAAAAAAATGACAAAATGGCCAGGTGTGGTAGCTCACACCTGTAATCCCAGCATTTTGGGAAGCCAAGGCAGGTGGATCACTTAAGGTCAGGAGTTCAAGACCAGCATGACCAACATAATGAAACGTCTCTACTAAATATGAAAAATTAGCTGGGCATGGTGGCACACGCCTGTAATCCCAGCTACTTGGGAGGCTGAGGTAGGAGAATCACTTGAACCCTGGAGGTGGAGGTTGCAGTGAGCTGAGATTGTGTTATTGCACTCCTGCCTGGGCAACAAGAACAAACCTCCTTCTCAAAAAAAAGAACCAACTACAAAACAATTGGGGAAATCCTTGAACCTACAAACTTAGCAGATATTTTTAACATATACAGCTGTCACT